GTAAAAATTAATAAACAAAAGAAAATCACATTCTTAAATGTAAATAATTAACAAAAGGAGAAAAAAAAGAAAAAATAAGTAGAAAACTGTCTGAGGAACACAAGGGAAAACACAGGTAACAAAACTAAACCCAAAATGAGCCTGTAGTTCTAAAACACCAAAGAGTATAAAGAAAATATATAAAACACAGATCCTAAAACTATTGTTAACCTAAGAAGAAATCATAATATTAGAAATTTATTTATCTATAACAGTGGGGTTAGATCAGAAATAAAACAAATCTTTACTAAGAAACAAGCCAGTGATTATATTTCAGCTGTTATTTCTAGTTTGTTGTTTTCTTCTTACTGCTCTTTGAATTCAGTTAAATTTCTACTAAACTAACCCTCAACTTCTGTCCCATCAGGTCACTCCCTGATGTTCAGAGGGTCTCATCCTCTCCAAAAACACAGAAACAAACAAATGAGTCTGGATCTTCACTGAAGCTAGAGYAGAGCTCCAGTCCGCCTCAGTCTCTGAAGAACATCTTTGTTCCTCTGGAGGACATTAAATCTGGTACTTTTCCTAAAAATACAAAAGATTGGAGAGGAAATTTGAGACTTTGTTTTATTCTGCTTATTCTCTGGCTCTCAGGGTTTTGTTTATAGTAAATTTCAGCTCTGATTAAATTTGTATTTCAGTAAAATGTTTGACTGCATGTTTAATCACTTGAATAAAAGTAAGTTTAAGAKGCACCTATTTGTTTATTTTTTGCAGTGTTGAAGCTTGAATGAAATCCTTTGGTTGTAGTTGAACTGTGTGAGCTGCAGTTTTTATGTCTCCAGTCTTCTAACAAACCTTTGATGAACTAATAACAGAAGTCAGAATCTAGCTCAAAAAATGAGTTTATAATAAATATTTACACAAAAGTTTTGTCTTTAATGTAAAAAAAAAAGACTGAAAATGACCTGAGACGTGTAGATATTGAGCTCTGGATGTGRTGTTCTCCTGCAGGTCAGCTGGATCCGATTACTTTGCTGAACCGGGCTGGTATCCACGTGTCGCTTCATTTTGCCAGAGATGGACRGTCGAGTCATCCAGGGGTCGCCGTGGTCGTCATGTCTGCAGTGAACACGTCTGCGCTCCAAGTGAAGGATTTTATGTTTCAAGCTGTTGTTCCAAAGGTAAATAAAACATTTAACATTAATACTAATATTCATAACAAATCGTCACATACATTAGGCATAAAATAAAACATGAAAATGACAACATATCAAAAATACAGATTTATATCAATGGTTAAGTATTTTAACATACAGRGTTCACATTGTATCATCTAGAAATAGCAAATAAATTGTAATCTGAGTGTGTGAAACTGCCTGTATGGTGGTTTTGTTTCCAGTTTTTTACTTTATTTTTAAACAATTTTAATCAGTTTATCTTTCTGTTAACATAAATCCTACTCCCAAAAATATCTGATTTTTATGTAACATTTCTTCTTCTTTATGTTCTAATTTAGGATTATTTTCCTAATATTATGTACAGACAGTTTACTAATATTTATTACAGCATTTCACATGTAAGTGTTTTTTATTTGAATGAGCATTATGAACCGTTCCACAGAGCATGTTGGTGAAGCTTCAGCCGGCCTCTCAGACACACCTTCCTCCCTACAACCCKCTCCTGCCTCCACCTGCAGTCTCACAGGTCCTGCTCTTAACTAATCCTCAGAATGTGAGTGTGAACACCTTCACTTGGTTTATACTTCACCCACATCAGGAAACAAATAACGCCCGGCGCCTAAATTTAGGCTGAATAAATTTCAGTTTTGCTTGTTCCTGTCTTATAACTCAGCTGTTTGTGATCAGCAATGCTTCAATGCTAACAGCTCAACAAACCTGCTCTCTGTAAAMCAATTTAACCCTGACAATAATAGGACTTTCTAGGAACATCAGTTAAATTAGCAGATTTCTAGCTTCCTATGTGTTTTATTTTTTGTTTTATTTTATTTTTATTTTGTCCTTCAGATTAAAGTTCGTCTGCGCTACAAGCTGACGTTGACACATGGAGACCAACGTCTGAATGAAACGGGAGAGGTTGACAATTTCCCCAACTGGAATACTTTGGTCACAAACTAAAAACGACTAAAAATACTCAGCCAATGTATGGTAAAGGAAGTATAAAGAAAGAAACAAACCAAAAAAAGAAGAAGAAAAAAAAGCTCCACTAAGATGATGATTAGTTTTTCTGTGAACGTTGCAAATCTACTAAAGATTAAACCAAATAAATGTTTTCCAGTGAAAGAGGTWAGAAATGTCAGCTCTGTTTTGCACAGGTAATGTTTTGGAAGTGGGGTTTCATGAAAACATTATAAACCATTAATAAAAGAATTGCGGTGTCTTGTGCACAAAAAACTTACAGTTCATTTTATTTGTGAGCCTGCACTACTTTCACCTGTGCATCAGTTTGTTTTGTACACTCAAGAAGTATTAAAACTTTTTTTTCTCAATAATTGAGCTAATGGGTAGTCTGAGCAGCAAACATCAAAYTAGCGTGCCTTCTTAAAAACTCAAAACGTTCATATCAGTTCATGTGAATAATATTTTATAAACCTTTACGTCACTGTCAGTTTTATGTTTCTTAGTTATTTTAACTAAACAACTGATTTTTATGCATGAAGTGCCACACTGGATGTATTGCAGCTGCTATTTGTGCTTGCAAATATACGTCAAATTCTACGTAGGCCTATTAGTGGCTCATGACTTTTCCACAGAAACCCTCTTCCAAAGATCTGAACTGTTGCTTAAAGAGCCCAGTGATGATGAGCGTCTGTTTTAGCTAATCTAAACTCAAGTGACTCCAGTAAACTTCCTGCTTTCTCCTCATGTGGTTTTAACC